AAGTCATGAAAATCAGTCATTACTTTCCATAAACCAACCATTCTGTCACCAAATGTGTAATCTCTGGACGTAGTGATAGCAACACAGCTAATGATGCTAGGTTGCTAACGGTGCTAGCGGTTACCGGCTGACTCGGGTTTGGCTTGTTTTTTAGTTTTGCTTTTATCAGTCTGGGCTGAGCAAGATAGCGTTTGTCTGGGATTCTCCAGGCTACATAAACACGCAGTAATTCAACATTCACGTCATTTATCACAGTGAAAGGAGAAGTCACATACTGTAGTCACATCAGAACGTACAGGCATCAATGAACATTATTAGTATGAGCTTAACTTTAAACAGTCGCTCGACACCTTGTGCCTGCTTTGGGCGCAAATCTACATTTATAATAATTTTATTTGGCCAATGCTGTTTTCTTACAGATGCTGATGAAACGGAACCAGCAGTGCCAGAAGAGCTACAACTCCTCCTTCAAGCTGTGAACACACTGCTCATCTCCACAGCTGAGTGTGAGCGCGGCTTCAGTCACATGAACATTTGAACCACAACTAGAAGCTCCCTAGAAGTAAAAATCACATCAGCCTTGCTTTTCATCAGGTGTGTTGGCCCTCCATTGAAAGTGTTCAAACCAGATGTCTGTGTCAGGTCTAGCTAATGATCCAAAAGCAAGAGCCCGGAAAATGTACTACAAAAAACATGACTATGAAAATCTTTGGAAACGTCTGAATTAGGGGAGAACTATTGAAAACAACTGATTAGTTATCCATTTTACTTTTCCTATTTTGTCTTTTGAGGCTAGCCACCTCAAGTTTAAAACATCTCAGGTGTATTTTTGTAAATTTTTGATATTAATTTTCAAATTTTGTAAATTGTTTCAACAAGTTCATTCAGTTTTTTTTCTGCATTTGAATTAAAATGAACTTGACCTGACTTGAGAGGATTCAGAGTTTCATTTGCAGTTCTTGTGAGGTTTTGTTTCACACTTCAGTAGATGAATTAACAAATGATCTCAAAGTACCATGAGTATGAAACTGCACTTCAACTCAGTAAGAAAAGTGGTTTTCTGCATTTACTTCTTACTGTGTAGGAGCAGTGATAGCCATGCCAGCCTGGGGACTGACTCCAATTCTGAGGTATGTTGGTCAAGATCAATTACAGGAGAATCTGACATAACATCCATGCCTTATATTTTGTTTTAGGATAGTAAAATAATTATCTTTGAGCCAAGTGCACAGAAGATGGGATAGAAAACAGCTGGAGTCGGTCCTGAGCAACTTTCTGGCGAACTCCTCAACATTGGCAGTGATAAGACCTGAAGGAGAAATCCTCCCTACGTCCTTCTCCTAATGCTAACCACGTCAAAACACATCTTAACCAATCTCAACCGACACATAACATCTCCAACATTACGCCTAAACCGACAATCCCAAAGATTACACTCACCTTCCGCCTCACAACACCCATAAAACTGATCTAAATCTTTGGGATATGTGTTTTTTTTTTCCCCCTTTTCTTTCCGGCATTTTAGCACGATAAGGAGGATGCACAGCGCAGAGAGATTGAATCCCAGCTGTCGGCGAGAGACATCAGCAGGCCGAGTGACAGCGAGGAGGAGGAGGAGGAGGAAAAGATTGAGGACGAGGGACTGTTACAGTTGGTTGCAGCGACCACACTTGATGTTGTTACTGCACCTAACAGCATCAGTTTGTCCCAGATTTGGCGAGAAACAACACAGCCTTCCTCTAAGTAAAAGCTGTTACAAAAAAAAAGACCCAAACAAACAAAAAAAAACACTTCTTTGTCAGATTTTGTTATTCTGCTTCATCCTTCCTGGATTTGTGCTTTATGTGTTAAGAGCTTCTACAAGAAAAAATTAAATAATCAAATCTTAATGTTGCTCCCATTGTTTCTAGTGTAACCAACTCT